TAATAAATTTTATTAAAAGGAACCATCTCTCATCAACTGCAGGTCACCTTATCAGAAGATGGAGTGATTAAACTGTTGTAGGATGGAAATTGGGTCAAGGGAGACCTTCTGAAATACCCTGATTTTTTTTTTTTTTGATGGATGACAGTTTAGCAATCAGAGTTGTAATGATGCTATAGTATAAATGTGGGTGAAAATAGACACATGACTTTGTTATCGGGTGTGGTTCCCATGTCAGCATCATTGTTCTGGTGTTTGTTGTTGCTTGTATAGATCTGCTTCAGGTTGGATGATTGATTGGATAAAAGTATGGGTCTATCACCCAGTCCCTGTAAAAGTGAAAAGTCACAGCCCAGAATGAGCTGCAGCTTATTAATAATTCATATGAGAGGTTGAGCTGTGAATGGTACAAAACCACTAGTTTGTGTTTTGTTGTCAGTTTGGAGAATCTGTATTTTAGTAGGTCTTCCCTGGGAATCTATATGTCTGTACTGATGTGTCTATTAATCTCATTGTGTAGATGGTTCAAGTCTCCTGAATGCTTGATTTAACTTGTCTTCCCCTCCCATTGCCCTCCATCAGTCTGATCCCAATTTAAAGCCTTCAGTTTAGCCACTCCATATACCAGACTAAGTGAGCTGCAATTCAAGAAAGTTTATGTCTTTTAATAAAACTTCTTGGTCTGAAAAGATGTTATGGAATGCCTTCTGACTTACCAAAACTCAAGAAGGAAGCAGGCCTTTGGAGAGATGATTGTACACTGCAAGACAAGATATTCACACACATCTGCTGGCTACCTCAAAATTCCACCAATGGAAAGACTATGTATCTTCCATTGGAAATTCTCTAAATTCTTTTCTTTGAAAAAAAATCCTAAACCAAACACTCTCATCTGATTGAATAACAGAATAACAGTGTTGGAAGGGACCTTGGAAGTCTTCTAGTCCAGCCCCCTGCTCAAGCAGGAGACCCTATACCAGGCATGTCAAACTGCCAGCCTCGTGGGCCGGATGCGTCACACTGAAATCATGCCCACCCATTGCCAGCAATGGGGGAAAAGTCGTGGTACATGACATTACAAGTTTGACATGACTGCCCTATACCATTTCAGACAAGTGATTGCCAGTCACTTCTTAAAAGCCTCCAGTGATGGAGCACCCACAACTTCTGAAGACAAGTCGTTCCATTGGTTAATTGTTCTCACTGTCAGAAAATTTCTCCTTAACACTTCTCTCCTTGATTAGTTTCTATCCATTGTTCATTAGTTTCTTGTCTTACCTTCTGGGGCTTTGGAAAATAGGTTGACCTTCTCTTCTTTGTGGCAGCCCCTCAAATATTGGAACATTGCTATCATGTTACTCCTAATCTTTCTTTTCATTAAACTTACCCAATTCCAATTCCTGCATAGAAAAATGGTTTAGCCTCCAGCCCCTTAATCATCTTTATTGCTGTTTTCTGCACTCTTTATAGAGTCTCAATGTCTTTTTTATAATATGGTGATCAAAACTGGATGCAGTATTCTAAGCGTGGTCTTACTAAGGCTTTATAAAGTGGTACTAGTACTTCATGTGATTTTGAGATGAATGAGAAAGACAGGAAAAAATGTAGAAATTCAGCCAATTATCTAGGAAACTGAATGCAATGTTGAGCTACAATATTGCCTTTAAATCACTTTTTAGAAATTTTAGAATTCATAGAGTTCAAAAGGGCCACTTAGGCCACAGAGTGCATTTTCTATTGCTAGAGAAAAAGCAAAGTTTTAGGAATTCTAGACAGCATGTCATAGACGGCAACTAATAAAAGTAGATAAAGCTGAAAACATTAAGACTCTTTCAATGCTATAATGATATTGTGTGACCATTATATAAATCAAGATGCAGTTCAGCAAAAAGACACCAACAGAATCCTCATCAATTTTTTCTTAAATGCTAAAAGGGACAATAGGCAATTGTCATTCAGTACAGCACAGCAGTCTTAAGAACTGCAGTAGCAATTTAGAATTAATTTATAACCTGCCACCATACATTTTTAAAAAGCAAGCAAACAAGCACAGAGTTATCCTGACTCAGTTTTTATATATTTTTAAAGCAGCATTCTTTTATAATAAACTGAGAAACAAATTCAGCAGTGAATATTAAAAAAAAAATGTAGCAATGCAACAGAATTTTAATGCAAAACTGAGCAAATTGTGCTGTATTCAAACTGGTCACTCTCACTACGCTACCTGAAAATAATTTCATCGCATACTCCCATTTCTGTATCTAGCGTGGCCCTTATGGTTGATTTCAGTGTATCTTTACATATGAATTATAGTTTGAATTTACATTCCTACATGGATTGGCAGTTAATTGTCATTGGTTCAATTAGACAATGTGCCACCAATTAAATTGTGCATAGCTATGGAATACGGAATGTTTAAAAACAATGAAAAACTTTGTGGCACCATAAAAGCTAACCACTTTTATACTGAGAACGTTTGTGTAATTGGTATCATTAACTGTAACACACAATGCACGGAATATTATTCGTGGTAAGTCTAGAGGAGGGAGGGAAGATTCTAAGCAATGTACAGGTAGCTTTTGATTTAAAACTGATTGCTTAGCAACTGTTCAAGGGAACAACAGACTTACTATGGAATTTCTTACAATCCAGATTCAAAGTTCTGACCGTCATCCCTGTGGTCACGTGACTAAGCTTTGGGTGCTCAGCAACACAGTCACATTTACAGCCAGTTGTGCATCCTGTGCTCATGTGATCATATTTTACCACAGTTTTGCTGAAAACCAGCACGTCTGGATTTTAGCAAAACTGCACTCATAGCATAGCATTGGTTCATTTAACAATAGGAGCATTCATTTAACAACTATGGATTTGCCCAATGACCACAGTGACTACCACAAAAATGGTCATAAAATTGAGTCAGTCACATAACCAACCCATAAGACTTACGAACTTGATGGGCAAACTCCATTATAGTCCAAATTCTAGGACTATCTGTACTGTAGTCAGGAAAAATGAAGGGCAGAAGGCAGTGGTGTGATTCAAATTCGTGAACAACCAGTTCTCTGTGTGGATGCCACTTCCAGAAGTCCAGTCTGGGCCTGGGCAACAAAAAATTAGCTACTGATTCTGCCGAAGTGGTACAAACTGGCTGAATCCCACCACTGGCAGAAGGTGAAGTTAGTAGCTTTCAGAAAAAAAGAATTAAGTGTGATGCAGTTAATACATTACATTTTATTGCTATTTAATTCTTGGGCATAGTGTTGAACTTCTTGACGAATTCTAACAGTTCTTTTGCTGTGAAATATATCTTGGGGGAGGTAGAAAAAAAAGTAAAGTGATTTGATTCCACCTACTTTTTCTGCATGATTTTACCCATAGCCCTGAAAGATTTGTCATAGGGGAAATAGTTTTGGAAATACAAAACTATTTTATCCAACTCTTATCTAATACTTCTCATCCTCCTCTCTTCACTATTATTTCTTCTTGTAAAATAATACATGTATGTAAAAGAATCTTCTGTTGCAGGGGAGCTAGCAGCCTTGATATTAACACAATCAATGAACCATGAGTAGTTGCTACACAGCATAAAACTACATCCTGCCCAGCATGAAAATTATTATGGAATACAGCTCATCTATTTATCTTCAGTAGTTACATCAGACTACTGACCTATAAAATGTACATCTGAGTGGATTTCAAAGACCTAAGTTCAAATCTCTCCTAAGGGTCTAACAAAATATTAGAAGCAGCAGCAAATGGCTGTGATATCACTAGCCCCGTAAAACCTCTGTATGAAACAGAGACATGGTGTAATGGATGCATAAAGATTGGGAAGTATTTGTTAACAACAATGGAATGGAGATGTTAATGACTGTTGGACAGCAGTCTACAGAATACTTTAAAATGCCCTCAGAAATATTTCTGGGATTATTTTTTCTGGGATTATTCCTACTACTCTGATATATGTTATACATGCAACGGTCCCAGATCTGCAAATATCAGGACTACATTTTATTTGTTTGTTAAATTAATTGGCCTCCCATCTTACCACAGGGAGGCTTAGAATATTAAATGTTAAAAAGATAAAACTATATAAAATAAATAAATAAAATGCTACAAAAAACACAATAAAACCAACAAAGAAACAAATCCCAGTCAAATGTATATTTTTTTTCCAATTTGTTTTTTAATTTTTATTTTTTACAAAAGCTGCATTATGCAATGGATCCAGCCCAGAATCTACACATCGTAATGTAAATCCTTGTTGCCATGTACAGCAGATATATTGCAGATAGTTCTCAATTTACAATCAGAACAGAGCGTGCTCATTACGGTCATGAGTCCTGGTGACTATAAAATGGGTCACCCACAGAACTGATCTGACCTTTTTTTATGGCAGTTGTTAAGTAAAGATTGTGGTCATTAAACAAATTAATTGTTTGTTATGGGCTAGGTTTGACCCCCGCCCCAAAACAAAGTAAATGCTGGTTTGGGGCAAAAGCATTGTAGCAGGATCCAATCTGGGTCAGTCACTGGGACCAGAGGTTTAGTCTTCTGAGCTTTTGGAATAATGTTGGAGCCCATCCTGAGGGAACTTCTCTTCTGTAACATTATCCTGGGGCACATATATTTGCCTTCATTCATGAAAAATGTTGTAAAACACAATCATGTGACCATGGGACATGGCAAGCAGCCATTAAGGCAGGTCAGTTTCCAAGCACCCTAAATGTGTTCATGTGACTACAGGAGGGGAGCACCCATCAGAACTTTAGGACCCTTTGGAACCCTTGGTGATCTCTGTCGTAACTTTGAATGGTGCTATAGTTATAAACTGAGGACTACCTGTAACTGAGAATGTTGGTGGGGATAGATTACTACAAGGATTATGCTACTATCCATTCCAAATGCTCAAAGGAAGCAGTTCTTCCATTTTTGCAAATATATTTTCGTAATGTGTTTGAGCAGATGCTATTGTATTGCTTTTTTTTTCCCCACAGCAAGCATCTTCTGCAGATTTAATGATCAGGAACATCCTTCTGATGCATGCTGGAAGATATGGCTGCAGGGTGCAATCTACAGCAGACAGTGTATCAGATGAGGCAGAACTTCTTGTTAGGGGTGAGTATACTAATCACAGAAGACAAGATCAGCATAAATAATTGTGCAACCCAGTTGAAATATAGACATTGATGCTGATCTCATAGCTGCGTTTTTTTTAAAAAAAATATATAACTTTATTAAACATTACATTATACAAATACAACTTGATTACAACTAGATCATATAGAAATACATTTATTTTTAAAAAATAAAAAGCACAGAAGAAGGAAAAAAGGAAAAAAAGGAAGGAAAGAAAGAAAAATAGAAGAAGAAACTTTATTCCCAGCAGCTAGAATAAACACGAACTTATCACTTCCCATTTCATATCTTACCCCATTCTCTAAAACCTTATCTTTCTATATTAATCGGTAAGAGTTCGGTAAGAGTTATCAAAAATAACAACATAAATATTACCAATTTTATCTATTAGATCCAATTTGAATCCTTCCTTTACATTTAAACAGATCAAAAAACAATTATAGGTAGTCCTCAACTCACAACCATTTAATGTTTAATGACCGTTCAATATTACAACGGCCTGATAAAGGGCATTCTGGTCATCGTAAAGCATTGCACTGCCCCTCCATGATCAGGCAATGATTAACTGGGTGCTTGGCAATCTGTTCGTACTTATGACTGATTGCCAAGCAGGATTTCACCTATTATTGTTTTTTTGTATCCCACCTGCATTGTTTTTATAAATAACTCAAGGCAGAAAACAAATCCAACACACTTCCTCCTCTTATTTTTCCCGCAACAACAACCCTATGAGGTAAGGTGAAAGAGAGTGACTGGCCCAACTATACCCAGTTGGCTTTCATGGATAAGGCAGGACCTGAACTCATGGTCTCTTGCTTTCTAGCCTGGAGTCTTAGCCACTAGACCAAACTGGCTCTCTAATCGCCATTTACAATCTTCTCTTCTGGCTTCCCCAGAAAGTTAATGGGAAAGCTGGCAAGGAAAGTTGAAAGCTGCTGCCATCTGCCAAGAGTTCTGCCATCCATGCACTTCCCTTCTGCACATGTGGGGTGCTGAATTTCTTCCACAGAGTTGAAGAAACAGAGTTCAGATCTCAAAGATATGAACTCCACTCCTGCAGCCTGTTGGAGCAGTTCCTTCTGCACACAGAGGGGAGCTGAATGAAGAAACTAACATGATCAAAGGCCTGGAGACTAAAACATAGGAAGAACAGCTGCAGTACTTGGGTCTGGCTAGTCTAACGAAAATAAGAAATAGGGGAGACATGATAGCAGTATTCCAGTATTTGAGGGGCTGCCACAAAGAAGAGGGGGTCAAGTTATTCTCCAAAGCACCAGAGGGCAGGACAAGAAACAATGGTTGGAAACTGATCAAAGAGAGAAGCAACCTGGAATTAATGAGAAACTTCCTGACAGTGAGGACAATTAACCAGTGGAACAGCTTGCCTCCAGAAATTGTGGGTGATCCATCACTGGAGATTTTTAAGAAGAGACTAGACAGTCATTGTCTGAGATGGTATATGTCCTCCTGCTTGAGCAGGGGGTTGGACTAGGAGACCTCCAAGGTCTATTCTATTCTATTCTATTCTATTCTATTCTATTCTATTCTATTCTATTCTATTCTATCCAAGCTCAAATCCCAAAGATCTCAACTCTGTTTGCAAAATGGCATTTAGCAAGGCAATTTCAAGCATTACAAGTAATCCTCGAATTATGACCACAAGGGAGCCCAAAGGTTCTGTTGCTAAGTGAGAAACTGTATTTGTTAAGTGAATTTTGCCCCATTTTATAACCTCTCTTGCCAAGGTTGTTAATTGAATCACTGTAGGTGCTAAGTGAATCACTGCAGTTGTCAATTTAGTAGAACGGTTGTTAAGTGAATCTGGCTTCCCCATTGACTTTGCTTGTCAGAAGGTCACAAAAGGTGATCACGTGACCCCAGGGCACTGCAACCATCATAAATATGAACCAGTTGCCAAAAGTCTGTATTTTGATCATGGTTCTAAGTGTGAAAAATGGTCATAAGTCACTTTTTTCAGTACCGTTGTAAGTTTGAACGGTCATTAAATGAACTGTTGTACGTCGAGGACTACCTGCACTGCTAAAATCTGCCTCCTGCCCCTAAAAAGGCAGTTCTAGCTATACAGATTAGGTGTACCTTCATAGCTTACATAAGGATGAGGCATAGTTGATCCCCTTACATATTATTGAAGAATCAAAATTTTTAGCTCAATTTTTGATTCTGATCCAGAACAAATTTGCTGTTCCTATTGGGATTCAGCCCTGCCAACTTTTACTTATTTGCACATCTTATCAGCTTCCTGTGCATTTTATTTGGCATGACATACACATGCAGTAATTTTTGTTGCATAGTGTTTCTTGATTTCCTTCCCTGTGGAATAAATGGAGCAAAAATCTATAATGCAGGATAACTCAGAACATAAAATTCTTATCAGTTCATTATATGAATATAGGACTATTTTATTCCTCTAGTAAAAACTTGATACACTGAATCAATACCCATTTCATAGTTGGCTGTATTAATTTCTCCAGAATGCCTAAATTTGGCTCTTTTTTTGCCTTTTTACTCTGTATTTCACAGAACCTTTGGTGACTCCATGTTATACTCAAACTCTTTATACTCTCTAATATGTGCTGTGCAGCCCTACAAGTTTTCTTGCTAAAATATAAATGCATAACTGGATCAAATCCTCACACCTATAATTTGCACACAAAAAGTATTCTATTTAAATGAATGACACTCCCTTCCCACTGCAAACTGAAAATGTGTGGGACAATTAAGAATTATAGAGCTTTATTTCTGAAAAGCTATTCATAGCCCAATGCTTTTTTAACAAATGATCAGATAATTCCTCTCATTTTGTTCTGCTTAAATTCTCCATTTGTAGATAAAGTTGTTCTCTCTCTCTCTCTCTCTCTCTCTCTCTCTCTCTCTCTCTCTCTCTCTCTCTCTCTCTCCTTTACATGATGATTTCTTTCTTATTCAAACAAGTTCACACTTTTAGTCTCTATATGGGGTTTAGAGTGCACACTCCATCTAACTCTGCTTGGAGCCATCTGTTATGTTTGAGATTACAAAGCACACCAAGGTGCAAGCCACAAAAAATCAGCTGTTTACCAAAAAATCCCTCTGTTATATTACAAAAAAGTATTTGTCAAAAGATTCTGTGCTATCTTTTTAAATAGTAATAATAATAATAATCCACCAGAGAGTTGAGAAAGAAAAAAACGCATTGGAAAAATACTTGAAAGACTATGAAGAAGATGTACTGAAGCTAGAACACCATGAAGGCTTACTGAGAGACCACTCTAGATTACCAGAAAGAAATCAAAAAGGGACATGGCAAGGCAAAGTTCTATATGGCAAAACAAATAACAAGATCTGGCAATGGGTAAGAGCAAGAAAACTGAAGAAACAAAGAGGCTAATTCTGTCTCTGCTAGACCAAGCCTTAAGAACAAATGCATACTGAACAAAACCAGAATTGAGAAGACAGCAAATGGCAAATGGCAAATTCCACCTTTACAAAGAAGCTGAAGAAAAAGAGGACCACTTTGTAAGCTGCTGCAAGATCACAAAGATTGACTCTAAACATCAGCATGACAAAGTAGCCACAATGGTGAATTGAAATAGCTGCAAGAAATAGCAATAGCACTTAGACTTATATGCCGCTTCACAGCGCTTCACAGCACTCTTTAAGTGGTTTACAGAGTCAGCATATTGCTCCCCAACAATCTGGGCCCTCATTTTACTGACTTTGGAAGGATGGAAAGCTGAATCACATTAAGATTGAACTCCTGGCAGTGGGCAGAGTCAGCCTGCAATACTGCATTCTAACCACCATGCCATCATGCAGTGGGACCACAAGATATTCCAAGTGATATAAAATAAAGTTGCTAAAAGTGTTCTGGGACTTTAGAATTCAAACAGACAAGCACCTGTCATTTAACACACCAGAAAATGATTGTTGATAAGAAAGACAATAAAGTCTGGATAGCAGACTTTGCAATATGTGAAAACAGCAGAAGAGAAAGTAGTTGGAGAAAAAATAATCACAAAATGCAAAGACGTGCATATAGAAATAGAACAACTTTGACAAAATAAAGCAAAGATAGTAACAACAGTAATAGTGCCTTGGATGCAATCTCAAAACATCTAGAGCACCACATAAACACCATTGGCATTGACAAAATCACAGTCAATTGCAAAAGGCAGCTTCACTTGGAACAGCTTACATCCTGCAGTGATACCTTTAACACCATCAGATAACAGCATCTGCCTATCCCAGGGCTTGGGAAGGACTTGCTAGGTGGATAAAAATGTCAAATCTAGGCTAAACATCTGGTTGGCTGTGTGACCAACACAGATTATAAAAGTGGATCTAACTTAGGAATGGTTTGTTCCCTTCATCCTCTTCTTGCAAAATACATATACCTCATGCAGGATCTGCATGGAGGACCGCTCATATTGATTTTACTCTTGCCCAAAGAAAAGATTCAATTTTTCAGCTTCCAGTCTCCTGAAATCACTAATTAATATAGGAAACCTTGGCTTAGTTGATTTTTTTAAATCTTTCTTTCCAGTTTTGATTAGAGGAGAGCCATGATTCTTCTATGGATTTCTGCCACGCTAGATATCCACATGTTTTTAGACAAATTGAGGATTATCAGTGCTTATCTCTTGTTATAGCCTTTTCAGAAGAGTGACCTGACAGGGATAAGACTTCACTAAATCTCAAATCTGCTTGAGAATGAATCAGAACATGCAGCTGAGAAAAGCAGGCATAGTTTTGGACTTTTTCTTCCATATCTAGTGCTTTTTTGTAACATTTTGCCTGATAAGGAGCTTTGGAGAAGTCCAAAGCTCGCAGTACATCTTTTATGCATCTTGTTGGGTCCTAATAATTTGATATTTTCCATACTAATAACTGCAGTGTGCTAGCCTTGTATTACATTCAACATCATGTTTGCTAATTTCCTGGAGGAAAAGTAGATTTCCCACAGACGTTTGACAGAGTAGAAAATAGGATTTCGAGGACTTAACAGACCTTTGTTTCGAATACAGCAGGTCTCTATTTTTGTCTTAATGGAGCTCTTTTAAAAGATGTGCAGAACAGTAGTGAAAAATTCTGTGTCTTGTTATTTAGTCTGGGATCAGAAATCATTTCATTTTCTATTTAAACTCAGCTGTATCCAGCTTTCTGTGTGGATACAGTCAAGAACTGGTGAGAACTTTTTTCCATAGGTATTTCCTTTTTTCCTCAAAGCTTGAAGAATTGGACAAACAACCAAAATTCATAAAAAAAAAAAATTTCAATCAGACAGTTCCTGATAATATATTGATGATAGTGACTGTGAGCACACACACACACACACACACACACACACACACACCATCTTCCTTCTCAAGATACAGGTCATATTTATTAAAAAGAAAATACTGCTTCCAGCATAAAGATTAATGCAAGGCTGTATAGAAATCTAGCCGGAGCCTCTTTCAATTTTTACTGTACGTCAGTTGAATTTAAAGATCAAAAATCTACCTGGAAGCTGAGATTTTTTTTTTTAAGGGTTCAAATTCTCTCCTGTTGAGAGAAATAATGAAGCCCTGAGCAGCACTTTCTGCCCAAACCCTTTGGAAATGAGTAAGAGCAGCCAAGGAGCCCCACTGTCTGCAGATTACAAATGTAAATAAATAAACTCGCACAATATGTATTTTAAACAAATGAAAGAAAAAACATATCGCAGGCCTAACCAACTGGGCCTTGGCTATGAGTCCTTGGCTAATACAAAAAAAATTTGTATATCTTAGTCAATTAAATTTTGGATTTTTAGAATGTCATATCACGTGAAGTGTTAATACCACTTTACAATGCCTTGGTAAGGCCACACTTGGAATACTGCATCCAGTTTTGATTATCATGATTTAAAAAAATGCTGAGATTCTAGAAAGAGGACAGAGAAAAGCAACAAAGATGATTAGGGGACTGGAGGCTAAAACATATAAGGAACAGTTGCTGGAATTGGGTATGTCTAGTCTAATGAAGAGAAGGACGAGGGGGGACATGATAGCAGTGTTCCAATATCTCAGGGGCTGCCACAAAGAAGAGGGAGTCAAGCTATTCTTCAAGGGGCCTGAAGGCAGGACAAGAAGCAATGGATGGAAACTGATCAAGGAGAGAAGCAAACTAGAACTAAGGAGAAATTTCCTGACAGTTAGAACAATTAACCAGTGCAACAACCTGCCTCCAGAAGCAGTGAATGCTCCAACATTGGAAGTTTTTAAGAAGAGACTAGACAGCCATTTGTCCGAAATGGTATAGGGTTAGACTAGATGACCTCCAAGGTCCCTTCCAACTTTGTTATCATTGTTGTTGTTGTTGTTGTTATGGATCATCGCACAGTCAGCCAGATGTTCAAACTGGATTTGGCATTTTGTCTACCTATCGAGTCCTTACCCAGGACCTGGGATAGGCAGATGTGGATGTTTGATGGTATTACAGATATCGTCGCAGGATGGAAGCAGTTCCTAATAAGGCTGCCTTTTGCAATTGACTAATAGCGAATTTGTCAATGCCAATGGTGTTCAAGTGGTGCTCCAGTTGTTTTGGGATTGCACCCAAGGAGCCTATGACTATTGGTACTACCCTTGCTTGCTTTTGCCACAGTCTTTCTATTTATATTTGTAGGTCTTTGTATTTTGTTATCTTCTCCAGTTCTTTCTCGTCTATTCTGCTGTCTCCAGGCACTGCCACGATCCAGACTTTTTTGTCTTTCTTATCGACATTTGTTAAGTCTGGGGTGTTATGTTGCAGGTGCTTGTCTGTTTGAATTCTGAAGCCCCAGAGCAGTTTAATTTTATCATTTTCTATGACTTTCTCTATTTTATGATCCCACCAGTTTTTGCTTACAGGCAAATGATATTTTTTGCAGATCTTCCAATGCACCATTGTTGCTACTTTGTCATGCCGCTGCTTGTAATCAGTTTGTGCAATCTTCTTGCAACAGCTTACCAAGTGGTCCACTGTTTCTTCAGCTTCTTTGCATAGGCGGCACTTACTGTCTGTTGCTGTCTTCTCAATTTTGACTTTATATGCATTTGTCCTTAAGGCTTGGTCTTGTGCAGCCAGAATTAGTCCCTCGGTCTCTTTCTTCAATTTTCCTGCTCTTAGCCATTGCCAGGTCTTGTTATTATCTGCTTTCCCAGCTATTTTTTTAACATATTGGCCATGTAGTGCTTTGTCTTCCCATGCCTCTATTCTGTTCTTCATTTGGTCTTTCTTGTAGGCCTGTTTGGTCTCTCCAGTAGTCAGTAAGCCTTCCTGATATACTAATATCAGTGCATATTATTGTTGTTGTTGTTGTTGTTGTTGTTGTTATCTCATAATTTGAAACATTTAGTGTGAAGAACATAGGACTTTTGTCTGCCTGTTGATCAGCCTGATAATTCTCCCAAAAAATATAGGAGAGGAGATAGGCAGCAGCTCCAAATATGGTCATCTTTCCTCAATCACAAGACCCAGAGTGGAACTACTTTTAAAGGATTGAAAAAAATTCCTAAAACTATGATTTGCATGTTCTCTTAATGTCAGAGCCCTTTGAGATAAACCAGATCACAAAACAGACACTACATCAACTCCTGGAATGATATCTTATTATAGAGTGTAATAACATAATCTTAAAAGCTGGCAGAAACTCTCTTATTGCCCTTTTTATCTTAAAGAGAATTAAAGCAAGAGAAATCTTGAGGTTTTTTCCTCACTCCTCCTGTATATTTGAGCAAAGCTTATGTTCACATAACATTTGAGTTCCTTTTTCAAGGCCATCTGAAAGTCAACTATACAAGTTGGAACACAATGGTTCCAACAACAATGGTTGGAAACTGATCAAGGAGAGAAGCAACCTGGAATTAAGGAGAAAGTTCCTAACAGTGAGGACAATTAATCAGTGGAACAGCTTGCCTCCAGAAATCGTGGGAGCTCCATCACTGAGGGATTTTAAGCAAAGAAGAGACTGGACAGTCACTTGTCTGAAATGGTATAGGTTCTCCTGCTTGAGCAGGAGGTTGGACTAGAAGACCTCCAAGGTCACTTTCAGCTCTATTCTATTCCAAGTACCAGTAGTACTTGTTCTGGACTACAATTATTTCTAATGAAATGGACACTAAGTGTCCACTAAGTTCTCAGGTAGACAAGACAAGAAACATGATCATATATTTGTAATATTCTAATCATTCTTGATCTTAATGCTCACCCAGGATTCAGTGGCCAAGAGGTTCTTCACAATGTTAGTCTCATACATGGAAAGAAGGCTTTAAGAGAGTTCAGTCTTTTGGAGTAATTTCAGATTGCTTCATTTGGAGACCAACATTATAGTTTCTAATGATTAAGTCCTCATGTATTATCCTGTTCCTCAAACTTACTTTGTGAAAATATTTTCCTACACATTTTAAACCTTTAATTCTGTGAATAGTGTCTTCATTTCAGGAGGCAGGATGGAGGAATAGATATGAACTGCTTTTGTAAAATTTGTAAGATTTAAAAGATTTTGGAAGATTTTAACAATGCTGGCAGTGAATAGTAACAGAGTGTCTATGAGTACTGGATTTATTTCTTTTTATCTTGCTTTTATGATTTTTATAAATAACTCAAGGTGGTGAACATACCTAATTCTCTTTCCAATGAGAATAGTGGCATAAAAATTTAAATAAATAAATAAATAAAATTAACTATGGAGTTTGCTGGGAGGTTTTATATCAGCCATTTTCTCCCATCCAAACTTTTTAGAAATCAGCCACACAAAACAATAAAGCATTTGTGTCCAGCTCTAATCTTTTTCAAAGCCATATATGTGACTCACAACACAAAACCCATGACTTTAATACTTGTGTGTGACATCCACACAAAAGCACAAAAAAGGAGAATGATATTGTGGCATCACCAGGATGTGTTGTCATTTTATCACACTTGCAGCTAGCACAGATCCCTAGGTATTGTTCTCAAAAGATACATAAAAAGTACCATTAAATATGAGTTAATATTACTATTATATTTTGCCAACATTTCAAGTCAGTTCTTTATATTTAAAACCATACGCAGTATAGTAATAGTATAGGCATATTTTTGCATCCTTACTTTATGGAAATTCTTAGTAATTGTACAATAATAGTAAATGCCAATTTTAGACTAATAATGTCCTGCACGAGATATTAGCCTATCTTTTTTTATTTCACTTGCATTCAACTTTGTTTCCTAGGTATAATTTGCTTAGTTCTTTTCTACTATCTCTCCATTTCATTTTCACAATCTGCTTGGATGAATTATGCTGAAAGATATTGGCTCAAAAATTTCCAATGACTTTCCTAACTGAAAAAGGATTTGAAGCTGAATATTGTCTGGTCCACATCTGGCACCGGAATGGGACAACTTGCCCCTTAAAATATCTGTAAGGCTGCTTGTTACCAAATTATTTTAGTCAGTCTAGATAAATTAGCAGACTAGATGAGAGTATTCTTACAAGTATATGTACAGGGCAATAATGGTGAATTAGAATCAGTGCATTCAACCTACCTACCTTTCTTCTTTCCTTTTTCTCTGTCTTTTCTTCCTTGCTTCTTTCCTTCTTTCTTTCCAGGTCCACCTGGGCCTCCTGGGGTTGTCATTGTTGAAGAAATCACAGAGGTCACCGCAACTCTTTCATGGACTCCTGGAGCAGATAACCACAGTCCTATTACTTCTTACAACTTGCAAGCGCGAAGTCCGTTTTCACTTGGCTGGCAGACTGTGAAAACAGGCAAGAGATTTTTATTGTTATTTTGCATCAGTCAAGCAGGTTCATTAGATTCATAAATTCAGCAGAAGAATCCTAATATGAAGCAAAATAGGCTCTTTTTTTCCTAGTGTCTTTTTTAGTTCAAACCACTATTTGGGAATTTAGAAATACATGACTTGTCTTCCCTATTATTTTGTTTTTATTGTTGTTTCTGACCATTGGTGAAAAAAATCTACATTTTCTTTTGTGAGAATCTACACTGAAATGAACTCCAGCAGTCCAAAGCTGGCATATTCTTTTATCCAGATTCTATCAAGAACATCACATGGGCATAGAAGTGTTTGTTGTCTGTGCTTCCATAATTTTTTCTTGCAAAACATGCCCAACCTTTTAGGCACCAGGGACCGGTTCCATGGAGAAAGTTTTTTTCATGGATTGGAGAGTGTGTGGTTTTGTGTGCTGCCTGCATCCCACGGATGGGGCTTTGCTTGTTTGTGGGGACCAGTTGCTGGCATGCCACGGCCTGGTACCAGTCCACGGACCGGGGGTTGGGGATCCCCGCTATAATGTATTTAGAACCAATCAGAGACCAGCCTTCACTAATCTGCACAAATCAGAAACCAACTTAGCTAAAGGCCAATTAGGACATAGCTACAGAATCCACTCAGTCCCTGTTTAATTGCCTATGGTCTACAAAGCAGACCACCTTGCTTCTGAAGATGCAATCCATAAGCTGCAATCAAAACATCAGGAAATCTGTTCTCTAGATCACAGTCACTAAATCCTGAAGGCCAACACTGCCTAATAGGTACTGGCCATGATAGCCTATATCAATATACAGTTCCTTTTCACTTGAAGTTTCAGTCCTGGAAGACTGTTGAGTCTTCCACAGTTGGTTCTCCTTCTTCTACTGGGTCCTTTTATCTCCTCTTTGCTTTTCAGGAAGGATATTCAAAAGTCAAGTCTAAGGTTTCCTTATAAGGTTGATCAGAGTGTATCCAGAATACATTTCAGAATAAAACAAGGTGGAGGTAGCATTCAGAGAATCTTGTCTGATGCTATGCCACCAAATACACCCACCTACCTTTTAAGCATAAAAGAAAAAATAGAGAGAAACTAAAAGAGAACTCTGCCCCCTAATTTAAATTAAACCTGTATGTTTTTTTCTTAAAATTTATTACTGAAATAACATTTCGTCTCCAAATAGTATTTACATATTTACCTGACCACAATTAAATTGCAAGCCCTGCATTGCAACAGTTGAAGAAATGTTAAATCAGTTGGATATTTTATCATGAATATGAAAAGGCAGATTCGTATAGAAATTGGCAAAGGTCAAATTCTTAATTGTGCCACTAATTCTGGGTTGTTTCCTCTAGCTTCAGTTTTGTGATTAGAGAGAAATTCTAGATAGCATGCTTTAATGGATTATTTCTTTGTTCTTCCCAGTTCCTGAACACATAGGGGGTGACCTGGAATCTGCAATGGCGGGTGAACTGAACCCTTGGGTAGAATATGAATTTAGAGTTGTAGCAACTAACAAAATTGGAACAGGAGATCCAAGCACACCGTCTAAAGTGATCCGAACCAAAGAAGCAGGTAAGACCATCTTCTAGATACGACAATTTTAAAATGATTGAGAATTTGGAGATATCTTAAAGAGTAGCACACCATCATGATGCAAGTTGTTATGGAAACCTCAGATAGAAGCTCAAATATTGGCTAGAGCTGATCAAAGTGGATGTCTGTAGAATCTTAGAGAACAGTGACTAAACTTGCACTGGCATTTGGATGTATTGTAACCCTCTTTTTTATTCACTGAATCTCTGATTTCTTACTTTTCTATTATTTTAAACAGTCTTCACCTAAAGCACCTTTCTGTCTAAAGCAGGCAGTAAAACATCTTTTCCACTTAAACACTCTTTGGCTTTCATCTGTCCTCATTCCTATAGAATAATATACAGTATTTCTATGTAGATATTTAAGCCATCAAGTCTAAGCTTTGTTCAGTCCAAAGATGCAAGTTAAATCATGTTCAGCAGATGAAACCATGAGTTTTTGGTTGTAGAGGCAAAATGCTTTTACTGTTAGATATCTTTTTCCTAATAACCAATTTGAATCTGTCTTCCTGTATCTTAAGTCCATTATTCCATGTCCTGGAATGATAGAGAACCATACTTAAGCTTATCCTGTCTGATGTCCTTTCAAGTAGTATCATAACTAATAATCTCTTCTGGTTCCTTTAATCTCTCATCATAGGACTTGTTTTCTATTCCCCTGTTCACCCTTATGGTCCTTGTCTGAATGCTTTTTTAAATTCCTTGCTTTGAATTAAGCACAGTAATCAAGGTGGAATGGATCATTCTCCAGACAGACCTGAAAAGCATTATGGAACTCTTCCAAAACTTGATTCTAGCATTAGTGACCCCCTCAGTAACATCTTGTTACTTTAGTTGTTTTTTTTTATGTTTTATAGCTTTGCTCCTAGTCAGGTTTGTACCTGGCAAATTAAAATGCAATATTATCCTGGTTCTCTTATTTATTATTGTGACTTATTAACAAGATTTTAATCACCAAGGGCTGGTTTTCATGATATGCCTGCCATGTAAAAACCACACAAAATGTCTTATTGTGTGTACATGTTTTCTGGTCTAAAAATCGCTCCAGCCTGTTGTCTTTTTCAGAGCTACATTGTTTTAAAATAACATATCATTTTCATTACTGGTCCATTCAATTCATAATTTTACTCTTGCATTGTTTATCACGTTGTTTTTGTAATTTGGATTCAGAATCTTTATAGAGGTTTAGAAACATACATACTTAAAATTCTTGAGCTGTTCTATTTTCTCAGTATCTCTGTGAGATAGCTCACTATGACAAGTACTAAACATATTCTAACCTCTCAAGATTCTTCTGAAAATGTGTGTAGAATCTGCTCCAAGTGTTTACCAGGACAGAGAGAATTTCATGTTTCTTCTCCACTTGTCCATCTCATTCCCTTATTTTGAGTGTTGGGTAAGTGTTTGTGTCATCTGCACATTTGACACAATGCATGGGTGATATAAAAACTCAGAGTGTTTCTACTCTCCCACTATGTTGTATTTGGTGTGGGGTTTTTTCTGTGTATTGAAAAGCATAAGAAAGACTACATATGTTCTACTCTGGGTCAAATAACTAGAAGAGAGAATGGGGTTTAGAATGGGGGAGTCATCTGCATTATAAATCACTGTTCAACTGTGTTGTCCCATCAGAATTCATTTTTTTCCACAGCCACTCAGCAAACCTATCTGAGAGTTAACAGAATGAAATTGAGATTTAGCTTAATCTTCCTTTTCCCAGCTTCTCTCATTCCTTTAAATTTGCTCCATTGCAGCTATGTTTTCAGAAAGTTGTCCTACAAAAAGACATACAGAATTCTCCACCAATTTCCATAATTTGTTTCCAACATTTTGATGGGTTGGAAAGAACAATAAAGAATCTGGTAAAAGATGAAAAGCTAAAACTAAAAAAAAAATCAAGAAAAAAGAAAGGGAAACCTGGAGAATAGGTAGGATCAAGGCATTTAATCCTTCCCCAATCTATAGTCATTAACCATGCCAGCTAGTGCAGACAAAAATAACAGCACTACTTTTTCGAGCTACTGAAATAGAACTACCACAGTAGTTGTGGTATTGTATGATCAGCTAGACAAGCCAGAAAGCTGATAAAAGAATCTTAAAAAAAAAAAAAAAATCAGTCTACATAATTTACATGTTTGAATTGACAACTGAAGACTTCTATTTATCTTGCAAACAACATAAAATAAGTATGATAAGCTCTTCAGTGGAACTGTTCATTTATTCTTTAATTTTTAAAAGAGAAAACTGCAGTGGAAAATTGTCTGAGGAAAGCAGGTAATAAAATAGAATGTATTTTAATGAATCCACAGTTTCATAAGGAGAGAATGGCACTGACCCTAATTTTTATTTTATTTTATTTTATTTTATTGGCAATTTGTCCACAAAAAAACCCCAACCAGCTTGTATTTGTTTTCACCCCTCAGTTGGCAGGCATACATGCTGTAAATGCTCTAAATACATAATTGCTTTAGACCTTAATGTGTATTTTGGAGCATGGTAGCTTATAGTCTGTGTAAATTACAATAAATTGAGTTACCCAATTTGTTGAAATCCATTGAAGTAAATGGCAAGTTTGTGAAGTTTGTCTTTGATAGCTGATAGCCTGGTTAACTACTGCTTCATGCTTAGGGTCAGATTCATTTTTATGCTAGCTTTTTAAGTATCCAGATTGATGGATTCTCAATCTTTTGAGGGTTTTTTTTAATGGAACACAGTAAATGAATGCCTTTTTAACTTTCACTGTTTATTGTTGTTCTGAATTCATAATTGTATGCCATTTCAAAAGGTTTTTTTTTCTCTTTTGTAACAAAATCTGTCATTCTCAACAGTATTTGTGGAAAAACCTCTCACATACAAACGGAATATTTGGATGAATTCACTTGGATGATCTGACTTAGCATCTTTAAATGGCTTGAAGAAACTGCAAAAATTAAGAGTTTTCAGTAGAACGTTAGGGCAATCTGCATCTATTTCAACAGGGTCTTATAAGATGAAAGAATGCCATAAGATTGGCAAAGTCACTCGTTTAAGATAAGTGGCTATACAAACTGAATAAAGAAATAGATAAAATTACATTTAAGACTTTCCAGAAAGTAATGTGGATAAATAAAGAATTAAACAATGATTGGTTATCCATTTTTTGGAAATATAAAATGCACTTTTCAATCAACATCTCTCCATTAATTGGCAAACAAACATTTCCTTCACAGATTGAGAACAAAAGATTGACAGCCTTGGTTTGTTTGTTTATATTTATTTGTTAGATTTTTTTTAATCCTGTCTTTATTATTTTCTAAGTAACTGAAAGTAGCAAACATGCATTCCTTTCTCCTCCTGTTTTTCCCACAAGAACCCTATGAGGTGATTTGGGTTGAGAGAGAGTGATTGCTCCAAATCCACCCAGCTGGCTTTCATAGTTAAGGAGGGATTAGAACTGACAAGTCCCTGGTTTTTAGGCTTGCATCATAAACATAACCATGTAGGTGCTCAATTATTAGACCAACCACTACAACAAACTGGCTCTCAATTATTAACTAAGTGGGAGGTGATTTTAGAAGATGTTTTAAGTAAAAAAAAAAGTCCTTAGAAGCCACTTTGGGTAGGATACGTTAAAGCAACACAGATTTACATATTCACAATTTTGGTTCATAGATCACGCTTGTACAAAAGGGGTGGTGTGTTATGTATGTAGAGAGAAAAAGAGAAAGATCAAGTGAGGGAGAGCTACATTTAAAATTATTAATTAAAATCAAACTGTTAGATGTTGCTGTTTTGTTATGTTCAATGATGCTTATGATGCTAGCCTAAAAACCAGGGGACCATTTTATCAAACTGGGTCACTATTTTAAGTGGAATTGGTTAAGTTTAATGAAAAAAGGGACTAGGGGTGACATGATAGCAGTGTTCCAATATCTATGGGGCTGCCACAAAGAAGAGGGAGTCAAGCTATTCTCCAAAGCACCTGAAGGCAGGACAAGAAACAATGGATGGAAACTAATCAAGGAGAGAAGCAACCTACAACTAAGGAGAAATGTCCTGACAGTTAGAACAATTAATCAGTGGAAAACATGCCTCCAGAAGTTGTGAATCCTCCAACACTGGAAGTTTTTAAGAAGAGATTGGACAGCTATTTGTCTGAAATGATATAGGATTTCCTGTCAGAGCAGGAGGTTGGACTAGAAGACCTCCAAGGTCCCAACTCTGTTATTCTATTATACTTGTCATTCTCCTACTGACTCCTATTTGCAGGTGTACCAGTTGCAAAACAGGGAATACAGTACATGAATTTTAACACAGAAGGCATTCCATTGAAGCAGCTGTCCATTTGGGGCCTTGGGGCATGGCATCAATTACATTATCTATTCATGGAGAAGTAACATACAGAATTGAGTAGGATCACAGTTTGCCCTGCTAATCATACATGCACACCAGATTCCTTGAGCTAATAAGATGGTGACATTTATCAATAACAGCGTGTGTCCAAGAATTAAGTAGGGCAAAGAGAAGGGTGGACTCAAAATTGAATCTTCTAAAGAATAAAACAATGAATAATACAATGTTTCAAATTAGCATTTTTTAATCTGATCGGAAATAGTTTCCATTTTTCCACAGATTTTAATTAATAAGCAGGGCTGTAAAGTCATATTGCTATAAGCTAGTTACAAAATTTTTGAACTCTGACTGAATTCTTATATCTCCATTTTTTTCAGACTACCATATTTATGAAAGAGTTAACTAACACTTATTTTAAGATCTGCTGCACACTTCCAAATTCATAAGGGGGAAAAAAAGACACACTCTAGCTCAGTGATAGCAAAGTATCTCTGTGTCAAAAACCAATCTCTGGCATTCAGAATATAAATTTCTAGAAAATTTCTGTATACTGTACATCACACTTATCAACCTGGTAGTGTAATGGTATGTGGGAATGACCTTGGGAGAAGGAGGGAAAGAATTGTTGCCCAGAGCATGATCAGATAA